TTTAATACTTGAAAAAGTATTCATTTCACATTGTGGGTTACCTACAATGCGAAGAGATGGCGCTGCCTTGCAGCTTAAGGATAGGAAAATTTCGACGCGGCCATCAAGGCCGCGGTAGCATAATTGGTCAGTGTATTCGCCCGGATTGCGAAGGGTGCGGGTTCGAGTTCCGTCTGCTGGCTGGTCCGCGTGGATTTTTTTTTCTATTAAAACTTTTCTTTAGAAATAATTTCAGCTTTTTTAACGCAATTCTTATGCTTTCCCGACTAGATCTAAATCTAGCAAAGTCTATTCAGTGGAATAAGCGTTACCCCTCGTCGGCTCCATCAAAGGGACCGGAGGGCGTAATCGAATTTGTTCCGGTGTCGGCGTAACGTCGCGGCGAAGTTGCGGAGATGTTGCGGCTACAATAGACTTTGTTGCTAATTGACGTTCGCAAACGAGTTGACAAACGATTATAATTGAGTTATCTAGTGATCGACGCTCAATGAGTGTCTTAACTAAAAATTACTAGGCTTCTGTATTCGGGCACTAAAATCTGTGAGAATACGGTTAAATCTGTGAGTACGGTTAAATCTGAGAGAGTACGGTTAAATCTGAGAGAGTACGGTTAAATCTGAGAGAGTACGGTTAAATCTGTGAGAGTACGGTTAAATCTGTGAGAGTACGGTTAAATCTGTGAGAGTACGGTTAAATCTGAGAGAGTACGGTTAAATCTGAGAGAGTGCGGTTAAATCTGAGAGAGTACGGTTAAATCTGAGAGAGTGCGGTTATGAAAATTTGGTTTTGAAGACGTTCGTAAATAATGAAAATGCAGGTAACAATGCCGAAGCTATCAAAAACTAGTAATCTCAATAATATCTCGAATATATTTCTATAGTTTTCTTGTCACCGGAAATCAGTTGATTTGTGTAATTAACGTCGATTTATCAGGTACTTTTCAAGATTTCAAGCTTAATGAAATTTAATTATGTAATGTGTACCACGGCGAGTGTTCTGAGGAGTTATTCTCTCTTATCCCACCTTCCCCTTTCCTTCAGAGGACCACTCGCGCTGGCCTACGTTGTCACCGTCTTACTGTGGCCACAATTCCAACGCGTACAAAGAAATTTGGTGACTCATTTCTTTGTCGCACTATCCGTAAATGGAATGCTCTGCCCGCTCACGTGTTCCCTCCCTCTTACAACCTGGGATCCTTTAAAAGAGTCGTGAAGAAGCAACATGCAGGCCGGCAGGGTGAGGAAGGCTGGTGTAGCAGGTAGAACTGCTGTATTAGCTATCTTCACGTCTGGACTTCACCTTCACTTAACATCAGGTGGGGAGGAGTCATTTGTTGGACCTATCTATAAAAAAAAAGGCTGAAAGAAGATGACGCGATAATTTTTATTTTCATGCCTTCAACTTAGATCATCATCCATTGCGTTAGAGACAGTGGGACTTAATATTTAATTAAAAACATTGGAATACACTGGGTTTTTCATTAGACGGTAGTAATAATAATAATAATATTCTCCATTGTATAACACCACAAAGGACATAACAGTAAGATTACACTGACAGAGAGACATTACACAATGGGCGGCCTTATTGCTTAATAGCAATCTCTTCCAGGCAACCCATGACGGAAAATTAAATAAGTATATAAGAATAAAAAAATGGGAAGGGTGTAAGAGCAATGTTATAAAATAAAATAAAAACGGTAATAATAATATAGATGCATATTTATATGAAAAAAAAAATAACAAATAAATAAAGGAAAGAGGTATTTTCAAAGTAAAGATAGGAAATGACGCTTAACTTGCTCACGGAACGAGTCCAGAGTGCGAGCCCTTCGTATGGATTCCGGTAATGAATTCCACAAGCGAACAGAATGCACAGAGTAAGAGTAAGAAAGGAAATCAGTCGAATGGCAAGGTATTTCGAGAGTGAGATTAGAAGAGGAGCATAGAATGCATTGTGAAGAGGATGGACGAGGTAGGTAGGAAAAGAGTTAACGCAAAAAGGTAGTATCCAACCTTTTTGCGTTAACTCAGTAATAACAGGATTTTAGCTTTGTATGCGGCCAAAAGTTTTCATTAAACTTTCGGTAAGACACAGTTCCCCTAAAATAGCCTACCTGATCCTTTCATTACGTGTGGGTATGACGTCACTCCCTTATTGAATGACGGCATTGTTTCGCAAACATTTGCCCTTCGTTAGCCGTCTCCTCTGTAGACAAACAGGATACACTCCCTCCTAAAAGATCTTTTATAACATGGCAGCAAGACTTAATTCCCCGGGATTTTTATAGATACGTGGCTTTAAATCGCCGTCCCCGAAGAATAAAATGATAATTGTCATTTTCTTAGTTTTAGTTTGATTTCATTTTTGTGATCAGCGGGTACTAGCATATCTACTTACTCATTTTATTTGTGTCGGGTCGGGCCAAGGAACTAGTTAACACTCATGTGGACATAAACACAAAAGAACAATTGAAAGAGAGAATAAATTCAGCATTTCAATCGATGAAACAGGAGATGATGTTGAAAATAACGACAACGGAACTAACACAAAGGGCCCGTGCGTGTGTAACACGAAAAATAAGTGATTTCAGGTGAAATTTTGTTTTAATTAATTCATCTAAAACATAAAAAAAAAATGGGTGCGTGTACTTATGTAGGCGCGTGAGAAGTTATCCTTCTTTGGCATCGTTTAAAATTAGTTTTTAATTGCATGCAAATAATTAATTACAATAAATTAATAAAAAGTCTGGAAAAGGACACAGTCAATAAAGTTCAGTTTTAATTTGAAAAAATAAATAAATAATCAAAATATTCAATTAAAATCGCTACTGAATATAATTTATTAGAACATAATTATGTGATTTGCACTTGTATGAAACTCAAACACGTATTCCGAATATACAAACTAGAAACATGTGGATAAATATTATAAATATGAATACCTATAACTGTTACTTTATTACAAAAAATAAAGATGTGGTTTTTGGTTCTACTACACCAATGGTCAAGAGATGGCGCTGTAGTCTCCTGAATCGCGCTTTGGTTCCGTTGTTCCAGATTAATAAATACTTTTGATAGGCCTTCACAATGCAGTCGTTAGCACCCACTAAATAGAGATTCTATTTCTATTTTGTTGGTAGATTTTCTTAATGTGCGGTAAACACAAAAGTAACGCATGAAGTAACCAACTTCATGCTGTTAAAATTTTGTGTTACAGTGATGCGCGCGCATCTTAAAATTTCACTCTCATCATTTTTTCATAACGCGCCTAAAGAAGTATAACTTCAAAAACTTCCTCAATTAGGATTTCTGGTTTTAGTTTCAACAATTTCTAAGCAATTTGCATAAACGATACCTCAAAATAAAGTACAATAACTAAACATGCTTTTAAAATGCTTTGAACAAACAAAACACCCTCTGTGTTTTTTTTGAAGCCTTAGATAAACAGCTTTTTTAATTTTAAAAATTTACGATAATTTCAAATATCTGTAACAAAAATTGTTTGCTGATACAAACGTTTGAAACATTTTTTTCTTAAATTGCTTTCACATTTGTTTAATCAAATACAATCAAAAAGAATTCATTTATCATTTCAGTTAGCTATTTTTTGAAACTAACTGGGTACTTTTAGGTTTTCTTAATCTAAATCGCTAAAAATTATTAAAAATAAAATGGTCAGACTTCGTCTAAGACAAGTATGACTCAAATGTTTCTAAATGGTCTCTGTTAGCTTTCCTTTAAAGCTTTGCACTCATCTCCCAAACACCCTGTATAATATTATCAAAATGGATTTTAAACCTGTAAGTATGACAAATAGTCATACATCTATGTTCTCGTAAAAAATATTCGACTAGAAAATGATAAACTCAGTTATCATTTTATTCTCGTACTAAACCGCCCTGGCGTTTCGTATAAAGTAGAGTAAGTGAAATTACTGTTATGGATTTTGAAGAGTTTTGTTATTTAACAAGTACTTGAACCGAATGAAGCTTAATAACGATAACCATATCGACAATGAAAAATCAAAATCACTTAACCGCAACTTTGGTAACTTATACCGAGAAGGACGTCATAAAATTTAAAGTAGAAATTGTAGAAGTTCTAAAAACTCTTTCTTTTAGAAAGATTACTTTATGAATTATTTCGGCCCGTATCAAATTTCTATTGTATTATAGTTTTTGACAGAATTTTTAAATGCAGGCTTTACTATATAAAATATATCATTGTTTTCTCAGCGTTGTCGCTGAGTCATGTCGTATAACAGTATTCTGATGTTAAACAAATAAGATAAATATTAGCCGAAAACTTGACACTGGTCTAAGTATTTCTTAAAGCCTCGATAACGCGGGGCAAGATTACAAGCTTCAATCGAGCGAGTTCGCTAGCAGTCATCGGCTTTTCTACAATCAGCTACTCGATATCTTAGATTAAAACAAAAAGGGTAGATACGGTACGCTCATACTTGCATCAAACAAAAACTGATCCCACGGCAGCGCGAACGGGACGGCGAGATCCGCGTCACTGCATTACCGACCTGAACGAAACAGCACGTTAAGTTTCAACGGCAGCGCGAACGAGACGGCGAGATCCACGTCACTGCACTACCGACCAATCACGCGACCTAAACTCGACGTCACTACCGAATAAGATTCAAAACTAACAGCAATTTTTATGAAAAAATATATTTTATAGTACTTACGAATGAAAAGTGATGCTGTGGGTGTCATTTTTAATTCTTGAGTTTTAGTTTTTAAAAACACACTTAGGCACTGTTTTATCATATAAACACAAAATATTAGCAATATTTCTTTTTGACGTTCACATGTACGTCGTTTACATGTCAAGTTGTGACTAAAGCGATTAGGGTCGTGGACCAAAATTCATGCGGATCACTTTTGTGAGGCTAGTGCCGTATCTACCCTTTTGGTTTTAATCTAAGCTCTATATGCACGGTTTGCTAATTGAAACATTAGATACAGAAGAATAACAATGACTCACCTGTGTCTCTAAGCTGCAGCGACCCGACTTTGTTGGTAAGGTAGCCCTTGATGGAGCTGGCGACGCGCGACGGCGAGGCGGCGCCGGCGCGCCCACGCAGCGCGCCCTGCAGCCGCCCGAGCAGCGCGGGCCCGTCCTCCTCCACGGTCGAGCCCCAGGGGGCGACTGCCCCCCGCGCACCACCGGACTAAAACCGAACGACTCCCCGAAATTTCAAACTTCGAACGCGTTCTCTGATTCGTTAACTTTTTCTTTTTATTCTTAAGTAAATACTTTTTAATGTTTTAAAAAAAGTTAAGACTAAGATTACTACTCTTTGGTATCCTTATGTAATAGTTTTTAAAATGTTATGCTATAGTAAATTTTATCAGTGCATTATTTTGATATGTATTGGGTTTTAGGGAGTTAGTGTACGACCATGGTGCGCCAGTTGTGATGTTGATCTGTAACAAGAAAGAAGTAGTATAAGAATAAAATAGAAATAAACATGTGGCCCTACGAAATGGGTCGAAACGGTTTTAAAGTAAAACTCATAGGACAAAACCTACTGCTGATTTGAAATGAATGGCAAACAGACCCAACTAAGTCATGCTTGGAAGAAGATGGCGAATTAACAGCCTTATATATATATATATATATATAAAAATAAATAAATATTTCCAACACGCACACCAATTAGCCTAGCCCCAAAGTAAGCACTGTAAGGCTTGTATTATGGGATACTAGGGTAACGGATAGAATACATATACAGTACATATATGAGTATATTTATATAGAAATACATATTAAACATCCCATAACTGGAGTACAAATCATTTCCGTTTCATCTTTTCCATAGGATTTTTTCATTTACGCCCCATCCGAAAAGAAGTTCCACTTCAAAATACAAACAAATTTGAGTTTAGTACAACATCATCTAAACTAAATGAAAATTAAGTAATTTAAGTCCAACGGAGGTAAATCGGTCGAAATGAAAAAAATGTCGTTTCAGTTAGGTACACAATAATTTTTAAGCAAAAAAACCTATGAAACAATTCTGGGACCTACTTTACTATGAGACGACAAAGTTACTAGCTGACGTGTTTATCATATTTTGTCATTCACTCTCAGTCTAGCATGATAGTTATTAGCTAGAGTGCACATATATCAATCAATATATCTACTTGGAGATATGAATCATTATATCATTATATCGTCAATACATGAAGGGTAATTATTTGTTTCGTATCTATCACGTTGATCATCAATTATTATTGATCTAAGCACTTACGTATATAATAATGAACTTTAAATCAATATTATAAAATTGTAATAAGTTTTACACTAGTAAATAGAGAAGATTATTATTAAACAAAAAATATGGTAATTTTCTCGCCTTTATCACAGAAAGCAATATTCATAAACTTACTTATATCAAAAAACATTTTACAAGTAATCACACTAATATTATAAAGGCGAAAGTTTGTGAGTATGTGAGTGTGTATGTTTGTTACTTCTTCACGTCTAAACGGCTGGAGCGATTTTAATAAAATTTCGTATGGAGTTAGCTTACACCTTAGATTCACACATAGGCTACTTTTATCCCGAAAAATGTTAGGTTCCATAGGGATTTTCAGGAAACTAAGTCAACGCAGACGAAGTAGCGGGCGACCTCTAGTAAAACATATAACACAGATCACACCAAAATATGATTTTTTTTCATTCAAACGACGGAACTTCGCTTAACAAAAAATGTCTTTTTATACAAAAAAAAACATGGTTTCCAAGAACTTTTCCTACTAACAGAGAGATTCTGAACGAAACGGATGTGTACAGCCGGATACAGCCACTCGAGCAGCTTCCGGCGGCCATCTTGGTCCCGGAAGCGGGTACAGTTTATGACTTCCCGCCTCTCAGACACAGCAAATGTTACTTATGAATTACATTCTATCCTGTCCAGTAAATACACATAGACTTATAAAATAGACTGATCTTTCTTAAGATTTAAACATCGGGCAGTTACATGCTTAATTTTTTTTAACTATAATTGCTATTTCTTCGTTCAAATGTTTAATACTTGCAAAAGGTATTCATTTGACATTGTGGTTTACCTACAATACGAAGAGATGGCGCTTACTTGCAGCTTAAGAAGGTTAAGAAAAAAATCGAGACGGCCGTCAGGGCCGCGGTAGCATAAGGGTCAGTGCATTCGCCCGGATAGCGAAGGGTCCGGGTTTGAGTCCCATCTGCTGCCTGATCCGCGTGGAATTTAGATTTAATCATCGAGCAACGTTATTGGTCTAAACACGAAGACCATCACGTAAATATTTCACGTCGTGGATGACATTGCCTTTTGGTTGAATAATAATTAAATCGACAGAGAAGCATGAAATTATATATCTATGCTTATCTGCCGAGTAGACATAAATATATGTGTATAACTTCATACACATAAGTTTTTACGAGAATTTGAAAAAATACTCTTCTAGTATAAATCGTCTGAAATTAGTGTAAAGATCGCGTAACAATTGTACCAACTAGCCCAATTCGTAAAACGCCAATCACTTGTCTTTAGGGTCATCAATCAACACCTATCCCTACTACATAGATGATGTATGTATATAGAGCCTCTGATGTAAAAAGATTACATAGCTCAATACTGTTTTCTATCTCTTTCTCTCAAATACAAAATGGATTTTTAATGACGCGAACGAAACGTAGCATTTACTGCCCCATAAATAGTTCAAAACTTTCTGTGGAAAGGTTACTTGTTAATCATAGACAAAGATAGATTGCTAAAGAGATCGCTTGTAGCGATAACACCGCCTTTGCCCATATTATTATTAAATGTATTCTTTGTACCTATGTCCTTTTGTATGTGAGCAATAAAGTGTTTATTATTATTATAGATTGCCTAAATCTAATTCTAAATCTGAGAAATAAGGCTAAGAAGATATGGCTTCAATTTTATTATCTATGAACAATTATGTCGTAGGATGACAACATGATAAATGAACGCTTTTCACAATATTACTAAGGCATCTCGCGTTTTTGCAAAAATCCGATCTATTTTCAGTAATATAGAGAAATTTCAACACCATTGTCTAATAGGGGTGATGACGGGGTACAGTAAACGAAATTCTATTTAGTCCGTCAGTTACTTGATCAAAAAATAATGGACACGTATTTTTTCTCTGGGCAATCAACCAAAAAATGACAAAGTTATAGCGCGTCAAAGTTTAGGAGTAGGGGCTCGTGACGTCACTTTTAAGTGAAAATTGTACCAAAACGTGACGTCATGCTACTTTTCAAATCAATATATCTCTGCAATGTTTATATTATGTGAAAAAAGAAAAAATACGTGTCCAATACTTTTTGATAATCTACCTGAAGATCTAAACGAAGGAAAGAAATTAGTCATCATCCCTATTATCCGTGTTTTCGCAAAATCAATAGGATTTACACGAAAATTTAATTTATCAATTATATATTATTATTATTCCTCAGTGGAGACCTCACATTTGCGGCGTTTGGAGTCGAGACTCAGGAACCCTGGGGCTCCGGTGCCCACCATCTTTTCAAAGAAATCCCGAAAAGATTGGTGGAGACCGCAGAGCTGGCGGCTATTTCGCCCAGCGCATAAGCCTCGCCATTCAGCGGGGAAATGCCGCCAGCATCCTGGGAACCTTTGCCGACGGGGAAGACTTAGGGTAGCTATTTTTTTAATATTTTTAATTTTTGTCTAGTTTTAGTGTAGTTTTAGTTTAATATCTAAATGTAAATTGTTTTTTTTTAATTGATTTATGATATATGTAGATACTTTTAATAATAATATTTAAAGATAATAATAATATCAATTATGTAATATCTTATTAAATACTTTATAGGTAAGTGTTTTTTAACTTGAGTCCAGATGATTTGTTTAAGCAAGCCACACACTTAGTAATAGAAAGCAGTAGAAAATATACTGAAAATATAATTTAAATGTAAATGCCACACAAATTATTTTCTGATTTTTAGTTCTCGTTACATCCATTGTGGCGCTGCTGTTCAAGTTTCCATGCAAAATTTGACAATGACATTTCGTACTCGCAAACTATTCGAATTCGTTATTAGTTCGTGCTACGGGTACTATTGGCAAACGGCTGCGGTAAGTTATGTCATTGATCTCCAGCTGTAAAATTACGAACCGTGTTCTCCAGCTGTAAAATGGCGTAGCTTCGACATTTATATGTGCTTGTAACAGCGTAAACTTCATAAAATATATTGATTTTGGATTAAACTTTTGATTGTTTTAAAGGAAAAGGGTTTATTAAGAGACCTCATTGTATATTTTACTTAAAAAGATTAAGTTACATATAGTTTTCTTAATTTAATTATTCTTTAAAATGTGTAGGGAACCGCTGTTTTATTTTTCTTTAACACTGTATACAATTCTGCTCAATTTAATTCTAAATACTTAGTTCTAATGCAAATTGAATAACTTAGAAAATTAGTTAGCTGTCACAATTTTTTGACCAACGGCAGGCGCAACGGGTTATCTCTACTTAGCAGAATCTTGTTACTCCGAAATTCATTTGGCATAATGTTCTTTAAACGATAATTTTTAGGTATATTTTTCTGTAAATGTTATTATTGTTTGACCAAATGTTTATATGTCCGAATTTACAGGCATACTTTAAGATCGCATTATTTTATTAGGCATTGACACACCTATGACAAAATTTTACTCTGCATAATTTCGCTAAGTATAATTGGTATTGATGAGCTCGATGGCGCAAGTTGTTAGCGCGTTCGGCTGCGATCGTTGAAGTTAAACAACTTTCGCAGTGGTCGGTCATTGGATGGGTGACCAAAAATTTACTATCTCGAGCTCCTCCGTGCTTCGGAAGGCACGTTAAGCCGTTGGTCCCGGCTCCATCTGCAGTCGTTAGCACCCACCAATCCGCACTGGGCCCGCGCGGTGGGTCATGGCCCAATCTCCCTATTCCATCCATAGGGAAGGCCTGTGCCCCAGCAGTGGGGACATTAATAGGCTGATGATGATGATAATTGGTATTGTGGTTAGTGGAGTAGGTGAAATTAGTGTTCTGACCAGAATTTAGTGCGAGTCGAGTGAGCGACTGTGCCGCTGTGACGACGAAATGCCAACCACCTGATATAATAGATAAATAAAACAAGGAAAAGTTAAATATTTGTATGCCAAAAGACAAGTAAGACATTTTGCAATATGATGGTCCTGTTTTTAAATTTTTGTGGATGTTAAATTTATACATAAAGACGATTATGACTTACAAAATTATGCGTTTGAATATCTGCTAATTGAGTGAATGCCAAATGATTTTCTGGGTAAAAAATTGTATGCCATCCCCTGACACGCGTAATATTATTATGACATTAAAAGTTCTGCTACACAAGGTAGACCCTGGCGCAACTGCAGAGCTTTTGCCTTTCGTTTCTAATCTCTTGGGTTTGATTTCCGGTAATTTTTTGTTTAAGTTTTGACGAAAATGTTTAAACGGAAAATTTTTTTTTTTGAATCGTGTTAATTTATTTGGTTATTTAGTACAAAAGTATTATTTGCGGTATTTAGTTTCCATAGTAAAAGCTTTGATTAAATCTAGCATTTGGATGCTGAAAAATAAAAATATACTTAACAAACTTTGCGTAGTATGGAATTACATAATTGTTGTAAGTTATCCTGAATTAATGAATATTATGACGGCATTCTATATTAACAAATATAAAAGTATCTAGTCTGGCACTAGACAATTTAGAGCCTAATATTTAAACTGAGCTTAACTTTCTCTAGTAAAATTTTCTTTATAAAAAAACCCGTAGCTTATTGGATAAATAAAAATGTATTTTTTGTATTACTATTATTAAGAGAAGACTTGTAAATTTCTACTCAAAAATCAAGCTAATTTCTGATTCAACATTTACACAGAATGACCTTCACTAAAAAATCACTACTCTGAAATCACCCCTCTCTTTCACTCCCACACACACCTGCATATACTATCTCTTACTATGCTTATACGTTTATATAAACACACGCCCAAAAGATACAGCATTTTCGCGGTTACGTAAAGACCGCACCGTTTTGCAGTGGGATCACGTGTCTTCTTAAATTAGAAATAAAAGCATATATCCATGCACTACACACTTTCCTAATAAATAACACACAACGATACACAAACTACATAACACACAGTGACAGCGTAAAACACTAAACACTGAATTCAAAAACAGAACTGTTGGTGTTCGAAAATTGAAACAAAACGGACAACAAAAATGGCGGATTTTATAACAACTGCAATTATTGTATGTGATATTGACCTTTTTGTAATTTTGCGCAAAGCTTGGCACACCTGGGACACCTCACCCAGACTGGCATTCCCTGCCAGTGAGCCTGAAAAGGCTCGGATGCCTTGCGCGACAGCGGGCGCTGCGATTGGTGGGCAGTGCCTCGTGACGTCATGGGGGGCCAGCCAATCGGCGGCGTCTGAAACTTCACGTAGGTATGAGAGGCAGATCGGTCGATGGATGACTAAAAATAGGCCCTCTGGGTCTTCGTGGGGTCGATACCGAGCGCCTTGCCCTTATCAAACATTCATCTTAGTATTCTGGACGTTTTTACGAGAACATTTAGTTACTTGCCCATATTATATTGAACGAACCATAAACTCCTTATTTAAGCATGGATATAATAACCTTTAAAATATTACGAGCCACGCTGTTATGAAACCTTTATTGATGACAAGAAAGTGGTAAGATCTCTTTTCTATTAGACAAGTCCGTCCGTCCGTCTGTCTGTGGTGCTGTTTCAGCGGCCAAACCGTAAGAGAAAGAGAAAGAGAATGTTTAAGTTATAAGTTAAGAATAGTCTGATAAGACTACAAACCGGATTTGAGTAACGTAGCACTTCCGGTTTTCGAGAAATCACGTGATTTCTCGAAAACCGGAAGTTTTGTAATTATCACAATTTTAATTAACTATTTAAAACTAAATAATTTCAAACGAAACCACACAAAATCTCCGAAGTTCTCAATTAATTAAATACATTTTTTAAATCAGGTTTTGGTGAACATTTGGTTCACTGGTTTGCTAGTATTACCTAATGTTGAGCAAAAATAGTTTAAAGTACAACGTAATATATTGCAATTTTCCGAAGAAAGGAACTTTTTATCTACAATGCGAAGAGATGGCGCTGCCTTGCAGCTTAAGAAAGGCTAGAAAGAATTCGACATGGCCATCAGGGCCGTGGTAGCATAATGGTCAGTGCATTCGCCCGGATGGCGAAGAGTCAGAGTAATTAATAAAAGTAAAAGAGAGTAATCCAAAGAAAATTATACTAGAAAAAATTCCACGCGGACTAGGCAGCAGACGGAACTCGGACCCGCACTCTCCGCAATCCGGGCGGATGCACCGACCATTATGCTACCGCGGCCCTGATGGACGTGTCGAATTTTGTCTAGTATTTCTTAGGCTGTAAGGCAACGCCATCTACTCGCATTGCCGGCAGCCCACAATTTCAAATAAATACCATTACAAGTATTAAACTTTTGAAAGAAGAAATGTTTTTGTGAGGGTTCGAGTCCCGACTGCTGCCTGGTCCGCGTGGAATTTTTCCTAGCAATATTTTCTTTAGATTTAAACATCGAGCAGTTACATGCTTAAAAATAAAAATTATAAGAAACTTTATTTATTATTCCGTAGCAATCGTACTACTTAAAATAACATTCGCTCTAATTTCTTAATCCCCTCATTGATTGACGACCTCCGTGGCCGAGTGGTTTGTACACCGGGTTTCATGGTGTCGCCGACTCGAGAGGTCCCGGATTCGATTCCCGGTGGGGGCAGACGTTTGTGTGATGAATACGAGCATTTGTACTCCAGTCACGGATGTTTAATATGGATTTCTATATAAATATACTTATTTATGTACTGTATATGTATTCTATCCGTTACCCTAGTATCCCATAACACAAGCCTTACAGTGCTTACTTTGGGGCTAGGCTAATTGGTGTGAGTGTTGGAAATATTTATTTTATTTATTTATTTAATAACCTGGGAATTAGCTTAGACTACTAACGATGTGTTTTGTTCATATCACTCAAGTTTCATTTGTCATTCAATGGCCAGAGACAAAACGCCGCTGTACGTGTCCCGACTGCATTACTCTACGAAGGAAGAAGAGATCGTAGAGTACCTGCGGATTAAGACCAAATTCTCCCTCAGAGTCGCACGGTTGGAGTCCCGACACAATACAATACAATACAATACAATGCAATACAATGCAATGCAATGCAATGCAATGCAATGCAATACAATACAATACAATACAAAACACTTTATTGTACACCACATATAACATTAAATTTAGTACATAACCAATTAAAACTAGTGTAACAATGGGCGGCCTTATCGCTTAGAGCGATCTCTTCCAGACAACCTTTGGATTCAGAGGGCTAGAAGGAAGTGGGAGAGACGGCGGTGTAAATCACTTGAGTGATATAGGTGATAATATATACAATTATATACATACATAAATATAAATAAATATTAAATAAATACATACATACACATAAATAAACAAATCTAGTTCAATTGGTAGTAGTCACAAATAAGATTAACATGAAAAGTTATAAGGACAAATAAAATTAAGGTAAAAAAAAACCTTTTTAAAAACTAGCTTTTATTCAAATGCGCTAAAAAGAAAAAAAGAAAATTTCAAGTAAATTAGTTAAAGATATATGTTTCTAAATAGAAGTCCGCCATATTGGATTGAGAGTGACGTCACATTTTTTTCGAGTTACTCGAAGCAAGCCCTTTAATTTGATACCCATATTGTAGGAATGCATTAAAAATGATTGGTCCGCCATTTTGGGTATGCCGCCATATTGGACTTAGAATGACGTCACACTGTTAATCATGCATTGTCATCCGAACTGAACGAGCATATCAAATTTCAGCTTAATCGGTTGAGAGCAAGTGCTTTAAAATTGAGTTGTAAGATTTGACCGTAACAAACATACATGGCAAGTTAAATAAAAGCTTGTAAAAAGCTTGTAATAATAATGGGACTTTACGAGGTTTTTAAAAGCGTGGATAGTTTCTGCACATCTTATGGTAACTGGGAGAGAATTCCACAAATGTACGGCACGCACTGCAAACGAACGGTTATAAAATGTTGTAGCGTGTACAGGTGTCATGGGAGTAAGATTTTCTGATGACCTAAGGGATAACGTGTCAGAAGTGTGAAGGAAATTAAAACATTCCTGGAGATAGCGCGGGGTCTTCTGCATCAGCCTATTAATGTCCCCACTGCTGGGGTACAAGCCTTCCCTATGGATGGAATAGGGAGATTGGGCCATGACCCACCACGCGCGCCCAGTGCGGATTGGTGGGTGCTAACGACTGCAGATGCAACCGGGACCAACGGCTTAACGTGCCTTCCGAAGCACGGAGGAGCTCGAGATAGTAAATTTTTGGTCACCCATCCGATGACCGACCACTGCGAAAGTTGCTTAACTTCAACTATCGCAGCCGGACGCGCTAACCAGTTGCGCCATCGAGCTCCTCATCCGGGGTCTTAGGATTAAACAATAATAATATATTGTAAAGGAGAGCAAGAATTATAATTGTGACACAATGTGAATTATAATTCCTTTGTGGTGCGGGTGACAACCGAACATCTGGCGACACTCATGAAGGAAGATTTTTGGCCGAAAGGTTGTATTCCGGCGGTTCCGAGACCGGCTACCTAACACCACTCTGCGTCACACGTCGCCGTCTATACGTGTTAATTAGGTTTCTACTAACATAGTTATAATTATTATTTTATATTCACTAACATTTAGGCTGAGCGCAGATTAGAGTCACGACAGTTGTTATACAATCTTGTCTTACATAGACGAGACAGCTTTACAATTAAAAAGAAACAGTTGTGTTTACCACAAGGCGCACACCAAGACGAAACTGGTTTGTCTACGATGCGACACACACCATTTCCATCAGTATCAGAATAGATTTCACCGATTATTTATTATATAGAAATTAAGGCACCAGCCCAGAAAGTTTTACCAGTAATTTCGAATGAATGTATCAATCTATCTTTGATAATTTGTCAAAATTTATGGACCCTTAGATTACTTGTTTTATCGTATGTATTATACATGCTTTCAGTATCGATTATCATCCCTAATCGCTAGACAATTTTGTCATTGGTGTGCGCCCTCGCATACATTACAAAGGGAAGCGGACAGTCGTTAGTCAGACTTGTCGCTTTGCAGTTCTTGTGTACATAAGACTTTTTTGTGTATGAGACGTCTCATTTCGAATGTGCGCATCTTCATAATTTTTGTTAAGCAATAGTCTGTCTTGAGACTGTCTTGACTCTAATCTGCGCTCAGCCTTAATGTATTACCTATATCTGTATTTATGTTAGACTATAAGGTATTTGTCTATGGGCCTACGTTGCCTGATTATAAACAAATAAATAAAAATAAAAATAACATACAGTAACAAGTCCAAGCTTATTTATTGTTTATCAATAAGAGGGTTAAAGAGTAAACTCTATTACTTTCAAAGACATCTTAATATCTATTTTTTATATTTTACTTTAATGTCAAAGAGAGATTTTTGTGAAATAGTAACATAAAACATTGTGTAGTCTTAGAACAAGACATCGAAAAACGTATGTAATTGAAAGCAATGAGAACGAAGGTATCACAAAGATCTAGAACCATAGAAAATTTATATGTATTCCATCCGTTACCCTAGTATCCCGTAACACAAGCCTTATAGTGCTTACTTTGGGGCTAGGCTAATTGGTGTGTGTTGGAAAAAAAATTGCCTTTAAAATAAAATAGCTCGCCTCCCCTCTTAATCCATAACACTAAAGCTAAAACTTAATTGTTAGTAGTACTTGCAAATAAAGCAACAATATCCGGTGTATGTTGTAATAACAAAAAATACAGTCTTTATTTAGAAAACAAACTTTAAATCCGTAGAACAAACTTAAGGGCTCTTTCAATTTATGCGTTTCTTGGCGGCTTGCTGCGGTGCCGAAGCGGTGCGTTTGTCGCACAGTCCTATTGTCGAGCGTTCGCGGTACCGGCGCCGCACTGTTGCCGCACCGCGCGTTTTGTATGAAAAAGAAGGATCGTCCATACGCTGTACGACAAACGCACCGCTTCGACACCGCAGCCACGGTAATAATATCATACAGTATTCTATCTTCATACAAACGGTCGGAAAGCGAGTCATACCTACGCCACTCGAGTTCGATGTGCTCTCGGCGGGCACCCAGTCGCGAATGCGCCGCCGCGCCGCAACGACCACCGAACGGTCTGAATTGTTTTTTATGCAGTTAGCCGTGCATAAACATGCGTTTTG